GTAGAGTTTCTGGATTGCTTCCATCTATTTCATGCTCATTGCATTGATCAATGGCTTCCCCTGAGTCAAACTTGCCCTGTTTGCCGCTTTCAATGCTGAATTTTTCAACTTCTGATCATACATTTGGTAGGTCTATATGAGGTTTTGTTTCAGGTAATCAGGTTGTTTGATTTTGTATAGTAAATGAGAATAAACTACTAAGGCATTCTTAGAATCACTCCTTTAATGTTGATGATAGCCTTGTTATTGCTTTCAACAATTTGCAAAGTGTTGCATGTAAATATTTTATTTGGCAATATGTTTGTGTATGAAGAAATTATGGTTAATTGGTAATACTTAAATAGGACTAATCTAAACCATCATATGCACACAATTCTCCCTATATGCACCAACGTATTTTGTGTGCGGCTGACCAGACCACGTGGCCGCTTATAAAAAAACAAAATAATCCCTATAATCTTGACCAACTAACCCTTAGAACACTAATTGAGTAATTTCGAAATAACCCCTAGTCAACCACATATAAAAATTTGTGTTGTTATTAATCTTAGGAAAAAGATATATGCTGCCCTAAGAAAGAATAGTCATTAAATAAATATTTATTACATCGATTTACTCGTGAATTGTCGATAAATTCTCAATTTAATACTCCGTACTAAAGAAGGAAGTGTATTAAATGCTTATATGACTGCTTTTAATTTTTTTTTATATCTTGGTCAATTTAAATGAAATATTATAAAGGACTAAACGCTCCTCCTCTCTCCTCCTCTCTTCCTCTCTTCTAGGGTTTTCTAAATTTTTTGGCCGTTTAGGCCAGAATAGTCTAATTTCCGACCCTTTTCCCCTTATTTTTCTTTAATTTTGCAATTTAGATTTCAATAAATCTACACGAATAGTGCAGATGTTTGTCCATCTCCCTATTAGTTGTTTGTTTTTGTTTAGGGTTTTTTTGTGTGTTAGGGTTTATTAAAAAGGTAATCATCTTTTGCTCTATTATCAGTTCGTTGGTAAAGAGTTTTCCGGGATCGCAACGGTTGTCAAATCATCAAAGGCGTTCAAGTAAATCATATGAAAATCATCTTTACGGCTGCAATAAATCGTTAGACCGTCTCTCCAAAAAGGATGTATGTTCCAGCAATGTGCGCGAGGGATGTACCACAGTGCAAAATCTATTCAACGATCATAGCTTTGATGAAGAAAACCCTTATTTGATTCAATTTTATGCATTTGTTGATTTAGATTTCATTTGTAGATGTCATATGGCTTTTGATTAATGAATGGAAAATTGGCTTACAATAATACCAACTATCAACGATGTGTGCAAAATAATACGAACTCAACTATTTGCTTTTAGTGGTACCACCTTTTGTACTATATGTGAAAAATAGTACGCTGGTCACCGAAAATTTAACGTCTATATTTATTATTATGTTTTGTTATTGATTTTCTGTTTTCTTTTCAAAATACAATGAAGTATTATGTTAAAAAATTTCTTTACACATATAGAAAATAGTTGAGTTCGTACTATTTTGCACATATAGTACAAAAGGTGGTACCGCTAATAGCATATAGTTGAGTTTCGTATTATTCTGCACACAACGTTGATAGTTGATATTATCTTAAGCCAATTTTCCTTAATGAATTGATTTATATAAAAAAAGATGAAAAAGGGATGATGTGGAAAAAAAAATACTCCGTAAGAGATGAAATAAGGCGCTTCAATTAATTGATTTTCTAGCATACTACTCCTATTATAGTCGATTTATATAACCAAACCCTATTTCTCTCAAAAAAAAAAAAAAATATATAACCAAACCCTAAATCCCTAATCATCCCCAAAAAATTAGTGGATTGCTAAACATCGCCCGCAAATCTCCACATAAAGCCCACAAATCTATATTGAATTTACCTTATTGCCCTAAACCTAAAATAAAAAAATCTAACCCATACCCACACTCTAATCACCCGAAAATACGGCAATGTTGAGGCGGCAAGGCAAGGACTTGGCGGCCACAGCGGCGGAGGGAAGGACGGCTCACGGTGGCAGGGTTTTTTTAAAAAAAAAATTTTAAAAAAAAACAGAAGAGGTGGGGCGCCTGGCCAGGACGCCCAGCCCCTGGTGGTGGCGTCTGCTCCGGCCGCCGGAACCAGGGGGCTGGCGTCTGACCTGGACGCCTAGCCACGGTTGTGGCGTTTTCCAGAGGCGCCACCGCCGTGGCTAGGCGTCCAGGTCAGACGCCAGCCCCCTGGTTCCGGCGGCCGGAGCAGACGCCACCACCAGGGGCTGGGCGTCCTGGCCAGGCGCCCTACCACTTTTTTTTTTTTTTTTTTTTGTCTAATATTTTTTTTTTTTTGGAAAATCAGAATTCTTTTGTTAATGTTTAATATTTTTGTTTTATGTGTTAATGTTTTTATTTCTAATGTATATATTTTTTTTTAAATCAGAATTTTTTGTGTTAATGTTTAATTAAAAAAAACAAAAACTTTAAATAAAATTTAAAAAAAATTACAAAAAGTTTAAATAAAATTACAAAAAAAAAAAAAAATACAAAAAGTAGGGGTGGCGTCTGGCCAGGACGCCACAGCCATGGTGGCGGCGTCTGGCCAGGACGCCACAGCCATGGTGGCGGCGTCTGGCCAGGACGCCACAGCCATGGTGGCGGCGTCTGGCCAGGACGCCACAGCCATGGTGGCGGCGTCCTGACCAGACGCCACCCCTACTTTTCGTAATTTTTCCCCCGGATTATCTCGCTTTCCGGCGACGATGACAGCTCTTCGGTGTCCCTCGGCGATCCACTCCAGCTCCACATTCTTCGTGAGAGTGAATTACGGTTTCGGTAAAAATTAGAAAAAGGGCAAAAGAGTCAAAATAAAAATATTTGTGGGCTTTATGTGGAGATTTGCGGGCGACGTTTAACAAATCCCAAAAATTAATCGAATAATTGATCACCTGAATATCGATTGAATTACTACCCAAATTGAATATGATTCAAACGATTCTGTCTAGTCTTTTTGTCAAATTCTTGGGCGCAGCATCAAGGGGAATTTTCACAAAATGGAGGCTCCAAAATCGTCGGTAATTTCATTATTTTTTTAATTGATAACTTGAATTTTAATACAGTATTTATACACTAATTTTCGCTCGTATTTGTACCAAAGCTCACAAATTTAAGAAATTTATATTCTCACATCGTATAATTTAAAGAATTTATGATTGTTTTACACAACTGCAAAATGTAGACTTATTATTGGATGATCTTGGGTGCTAATAATTTCCATGCTCCACTCTTAAGTCTTAGTTTTATATAAGTTGCCACGTGTATGTTTTAAGAAAATTGTACATGTGAGTTGGAACTAATTGTGCCGCATTGAAGAAGAGGGAGGAAGATGGCTAACATATAAGTTTGGCAAGCTAATCCACCGGTTTTAGGATGAAATCTTACTTGGCTTATATATGGTTGAGTTATGCTTGGCTCCATGAAAATTTCTTGGAGTGTTTAATGTTAAGTTACTTTTAATAGATAGAACGAAGGCAAGTAGATTAGATAGGTGTTTCTAGCAATTTTGTTAATTGTGATGTAGTAGTTACTAGATCTGCATAGTTTGATGTTCTGATCCAATTAAACCATTGTGGATCAAGAATTTGTTTATTTCCTCATTGGATTAATAGTATAATTTGATCTTAATCAGCCTATTACCATTTTAAAAAAAATACACACGCACAAAAAAGGTGCATAGAAAGCAACATCTGTAATGATGAGATAGTTACTAGTTGAATTATTCAGAGAGTAGACTAATTTCATGTTATTTAATTGATTTACTCTGGTTGAGGTGTTGTATTATTAATTAAATAAGTAATTAATACAAATAACCATAATTGAATGTTGTCTTCGGTTTTAATCGTATGGTTTGGCTGTACAATGCTTTGTGTCATTTGGCTTGTAATAAGTGACAGTTGCATGTGGCAGTAAGTTTCATTGCATTGTTTGATTTTGGTATTATGCTTTATATATATATGTTTAATAAGATATGATGAGAGTTTTTGAAGAGATAAGTCATTTTTATTATTTTTCTTCTTGAATACTATTGCAAGTCACAATTATAATCATAATAATTCCTTAAAGTTTGTTTTACATTAGATCACAAATATACTACACACTATTGTGATTGTCTTTGTTGTATCTCCTAGTAATTTCGTGATACCCGATGTGTTTAATTAGGGTCGAAATATTACTTTGAGAAAGTGATTTTGGTCACGCCTCGAACTCTGAATTTGTCCTTGTTCGTTGCAATTTTTGTGACCCGGTAACTACATTCCCCAACAACTAATAGCTATCTTTGATTTTTCAATAGAATAGAGGGTTAAAGTGATAGTGAGAAGCGGCTATATGTTACACAGGTCCTTTCTTTCTATTAAGTACTTGTTTCGGATACTCGACATTTGGATATAAGTGAATTGAATAACAGTAACACGTTTTAAAGACGCAAGATTTCCATTAATTGGTTGAGCTAGGCACTTGGACCACTAGATAATATGTCCAACTCTGTTGCTTTCTCAAGTATCATGGAATTCTTGCTCATAGTTTCTCTAGATTCTTGTGGTACTTCCTGTAGTGCTCTAACAAGCCTTTAGTGTCTAGTAGCATGTTCAAGTAATCGATGATTGCAATCATGAACTAGGCAGTTTGCTACTTTGCTGGTGGTCGTACGGAGTGGAGGATACATGCCTTACGTACATAAAAATTCTATGTGTAAATGTTCTAACTGCTAAATAGCATTCCCTCCATCCGGAATTTGTTGTCACATTGGTGAAATTAAACTAACAATGTGACATCTGAATGTGATTGAGGTAGTAAAAATATTTCAGGACAATTTAACAGTGTCCTAGACTTGATTAAAAATCCTACTTTCAGGAAGTGAGAAGTCTATAATACCGTTAGTTAAGCTTTATAGAGCCTTATCAAACTAATTACTCCGTACTATTGTCTGTACAACTGTAGTTTCGTGCAAAACTGCATTGCAATTTATCAATAAAATAGTATTCAATCCACAAGACAAGTTTACTAAGAGAATCAGTGTTCATGTATCGGCTTTTATCCCTTCTTGTGTAATTTGATGAGAAAGATTATCATCTACAGATGTGAGCAATGAAAGAATCCATTTCTAAGCAAGAACTTCCACCATCTGCAACTGATCCTCGGACTGCACCACCTAGCTTCATTGCCCTTTTCCTCATCTCTTCTCCTTCCTTTGATGTCATCAATCGTCTTACTGCACTCTCTACAGAGGTTGATGTTACTCCCTTAGCTCTTTGTTCCCAATCCCTGACTAATAAGCCAATCTTTAAGACTTCTGTTATCAAAATGCTGTTTTTTGGCTGGTCAGAATGCATAGGACATGCTGCTATTGGTACTCCCGCGCTGATGCTCTCCATACACGAGTTCCAACCACAGTGACTCATGAACCCGCCTATTGATGGGTGTGCAAGAACTTCAAGCTGAGGTGCCCAGTCTTTTACTACCATTCCCCTGTCCAGTACCCTGTCTTCGTAACCTTTTGGCAGCCGAGGCCTTCTCACATCATTTTCTGCAGCAATATCTACTCCGTCAGCACTTCTAACAACCCATAAAAACTTCTGCCTACTTCTTTCCAATCCAACAGCCAACTCACTGATCTGCTCTTCTGTCATCGATATGCTCGTTCCAAATGACACATATATCACAGAATTTTTCTCTTGTTTGTCCAGCCACTCGAGGCATCTATGTCTGCTGTTGCTGCATCCGCTTTTTATCTCCACCGGATGCAAAGGTCCTATTGCAAATTGCTTTTTGTTAGCATTTGTCGGTAGCTTTTCTAGTAAGTCCATATATCTACCTTCAATCTGTCTACATGGGTTATAGAGTCTTCCACTCTCGAAGTTTAAAACTTTGTATTGCTTGGATACAAAGTCTTCAAACTCGGGTGTAAAGCACCCTTCACTCGAGGGGATTTTGTCGTTTGGGATATCGCAATCTAGTTGGAAAGGTTTCTTGGTTATTGACTCCCAAATGTAGAAGAAGATGGTGAAGGCAGAGACACTATGCAGAGCATATGACTCTGCATTTGGGATTAGTGTTACATCTTGAACAACTGAAGCCATCAAAGTATCATGAACAATGATGATCCTTCGATACTTAGCTGAGAGTTCTTGTAGAAGTTGAAACACAGGTTTACGAAGCTGTAAAGAAGCATCGAAAAGTGGTTGGAGGTGCCCAGGGAATTTAGTATAGGCATTGAGTTTGGGAGGATTTGAGCTTAAAGAAGGTAGTTGTAAGTTATGAAAGTGCATTTTACTTGTATTTTTCGGGTCCCAACCATGGAGACGTAGCTTGGCTTGGCGATTGTGTGCTATGGATCCGATAAAATGAACCGGTATACCATATGATGCTATAAGAATGGAAAGATGGAGAGACTCATTGAGGTGCCCTTGCATTGGAAAGGGTACTATGATTGCTGCAATTGAGGGATGTTTAAGGCCATAATTTTGATTAGCCATTTTGGGTTTTGGGTTACATCTTTGGTCTTGAGGTTGTAGCTTTATATAGAGCTAGAAGATTAGCATAAATATGCTCCGTACAAACATATGTCATTTATTATGCTCATACTTATCCTAATATTCAAGCCTCTCTTCATTATACTTTTGTGCTACTTTTGTGATTCTATTGTGAGTTGTGACACTGTGGGTTGAATAATGCCTATAATTCTTAGGAAGAAAAATCTAATGATTGACCATTATTATTTGATTTAAAAAGTGACTACTTTTCAAAATATCTTAAACAATGTAATTAATTTCAGACGGTGAAAAATTACTGTATTACATTGCGGCTTTATTTGACAATTTGAAGACAATCACTTCATGTCCTTGTCATGGTTGCTTGAATAGTGTGCTTATGTCATTGATTACTGTAAAGCTCAGTAATTAACCATGAGAAAAGAAGGCAAGTAGCCATGATTGATAGTGGAAACCAAGTTGGTAGAACCCTCTTTACTAATTTAGGTCTTTCTTCAGAGCACTAGTTTTGCTTAGAAATCGTCATTTGATGTTTGCTTTGAAATTAATTGTTGGTAGAGCATTCATATCAAGGCTTAATTTATCTGATAATAAGAATTATTTTTGTTAATTTTTTGTATATAGAGAGCTAGAAGAATAGTAACACACCACCCAAAACCCTGTCAACTAAGCTAATTAATAATTATTAATTTTTTTTGAAACAAAAGCTAATTAATAATTTATGGTTACTAGAGACATTACAAAAGTTAAAAAGTAAGGAATGAAATTAGACACATTCCTTCAAAAAAAAAATTAAGAAAATTGGACACGTTGTTAATGATGTAAAGGACATTTATTATTTGCTAAAATGTTGTGTTACGGTTCCCATCACATTGGTCAAGCACTTAAGCTCCTTGTTGAGTTTCAATAGTAGTTGCAATGAAGTGATTGATTTATAACTACTTTTCTTCCCATCTTTCCCTATTGCAACATTTTGCTAGCTGGCATGGCCTAGATAACATGAATCAATCTACTTGCATAATATGTTAGCTAGCATGGGAAGGTCTTTAATTTCCTTGGACCATTTTGTTTAGGGTTCATTATTCCATAGTGTGAAAAGCATTTTGTTGTAATCAATAACGTAGGTCCGATGGACATTTTCATATCAGTGATCAAAAAGCGATAAATGGATAAAGTTTATGTCAACAACATCAGATGGATAAATTTTCATGCTATTTAAGATAACTTTTTTTTTTTTTTTGTTGAATAATAATAAACTAATAATGTAATGATGTATTCATCCATTTTAGTTTTCACTCCTTTATTTGATTGAAAAGTTTACAATATGGTATTCTGTAAATGGGTTTAAATTACACAAAGCAACATTTGTTATTTAGTGAAAAAGGGTGTATTAAGAGGCTCATGCCTCACTCCTCATAAAAGCCATTGGGCTCATTACCTTGCTTTAGCGCATATTTATGTCATTAATTAAATTTGCAATTTAAGTACTAAATTGTGCTTAGTACACTCATCTTAAATCTATCTTAAGGCCAATAATAGAGTCATTGAAAACACACGTTAATATAAGCTGAGACATCCTCATTTAAAAGTATGTTCAACTACCCAAATCTCCCATGCCTCAACTTATCTTGTTTCTAGTGTTATCACTGTTATGTTCCACAAATTTTTTTTTTTATTTTTTTTTTTTTTGGGGGGGGGGGGGGGCACTAAGGTCCCCATCCTGAATTTATACAATGGTATGTTGATTCTACCACAAAATTTATACAATGGTACGTCATACTTGTCATACTAACTTTCTATTTGAGTAAGTGTTCATTAATAAGTTTGGTTTTTAGTTGAGTTGTCCAATGTGAATTTGATGATGATATCTTCATACCAATATACCATTATTGAACTTAAACACATGTTACCATAATAAATGAAGCTCAACCACTCCCCATTTTTGGGAGTTCAGTTATTCCTGGTCTTATTCATCTTATTTTAACCCTGATTGGTAATTAGTTGATAATTGATTGATATAGCTACTTATATTGTCTTATTTGACTAATAGGTTATATTAGCTGGTTGTAAATATAGCTGGTTGTGTAAAAGTGTTTGGTAAATAACTGTTAATTGTTAGTTGTTTCGGTGTATTTAATATCTAAAAAGCTAATTGTTCAATAAGCTAATTTCAAAAAACTCTTATAATGGGCTTTTTTTAAAAAGAGCTTTTTGACCAAAAGAAAAACTCTTTAATAAGTTGTTTACCAAACACCGAAAATTATTGGTCAAACCTCAATAAGGGCGTAATAAACTAAAAGTTTTTCAAAAATCTCTTTACCAAATAAGGCTCACTTATTTATTCTTATAAGTTCAAATAAAGGTAAGTTCAATATATTTATTTTAATTCTCATAAATTCAAGTAAGATAAGTTAAGAAAAATAAATTTTTATAATGGTTATTATAATTCAAATAATAACTAAAATAAGTTTAATAAAGTCTAATTAGTCAAATAAGATAACATAAATTCAGATAAGTAATCACACCCTAAATTTTGAAAAGTCTTATTAATACAATGATGGATAATGACATGATCATTCTAAAATTACTCTATAACTTCTTTAAATTTCAAAACTCCGTATTTGAGGATATCTTAAGCATAGGTCACTGTGCCGATGTGCCCTCCATCCTATCCTAAAATAAAGTTCAATTTTCAACTAAAAAGACATGTATAACTTGTGAGATTTACATCTTTATGTATAGCTAGTAACATACATCGAATGATTCTAAGTTTCTAACTATATATTATGATACATCGAATACAAAGATTTCAAGCAACAAATTAACATCACTCTACAATAAAAATTCCTCAAATTTATACTTTTTCTGTTTTTCTTTTGTTGCACCATATAAGGACTTTTACACAATTCATTTAATATTTTTTGACCATTATTTATGATTTATCCATTAGGAAAAACATAGTCATGTAGAATCTAGTTAGATTCGTCTCAAAAAATATTTTTCAAATATTAAATTTTTTATAATTTTTACAAAAATATTAATAACTAAAGTAAAGCATTGACAAACGTGAAATCTCTCATGGAACAATAAAAAAAGAACGGAAAAAGTATATTTTTTCGTCACGATGAATCAACTGGAGTCCTGCAGATTGGACAAGTTTTTCCAAACCTACCACGAGATAAAAGCCACTTATTTACGCAATTTGCATGAAAATAATGCCCACATACAGGTAAAGTTCCAATTCTGTCCTTCCTTATATATTCTCCCATGCATATTGCGCATGCATTTTCATTCTCACTATTTGGGCCTTGGCCCACTTCTTCTATCTCACTTATTACAATAGTGGGCCGATATTCTGGGCTAGCTTCCTCATTCTGGCCCAGTCGAACTACTTGCATTGCAAACTCTATGTTAAGTTCTGCAAGGCCCAACTCTCCAATGCGATCAGGCCCATTAGTGACAACTGATTCGAGTTGTAAATCGCGATTTAAGCTCCTATGTCTAAGACAAGCCCGGATCCAAATAATTAGTGAGCCCACTAGACAAATTAGTGTTGGTGAGCATATCACTAATATCACTGCTATGAACGTGGTTATGGGCAATTTCCCAACCATACCTGAAATTCGAAAAATGTATAAATTCTCGTTAAGCACTTACAGTTTGAAAATAATAGTCGCATTGTCCACACCCATTGTATCAAGTTTATACTCGTAATATGAGCTTACTCGATGCCCTTTTTGTATCGAATTTATCTGGTACAGTATATTTTTGTCGGACAAGAGTTTGGGTGGATAGATATCCATTAGCAGTATAGGATGTAATTGCTTTCGATTATTAGGCACTTTCGCAAAAATCACATCTAAGTTAGATAAAAAGCTATGTCAAAAGGCAGGCTTTTTTAGGTAAAGGAAGATGTATAGGATTCTGGATTATATTGTAAAATATAATAGTAATACATATTCAATGTATTATCGAGTTGAATAATCTGTATTAAGAACAAGTTTATAAAGAATGCCTTAGAAAAATAAGTTTATTTGTCCCATGGTAATGTATGGAATGAGACAGGTGTATAATATAATAAGATGTGGAATGATTATATTTTGCAACTTTTAAACTGAATGAAGACTTTCTATGTCATTTATTTCATCAGTAGTTGAATGTTTTCTGTCAATGGCTAATTTCATCATGGTTGTCCTAGCAGTTTAATGCTGCTAATGTGTTTAGAAGTGTTGAAAGGTTTTGCCATAATCAGCCCCACGCATAATTGCAAGTAAGATACTCATTACAGATCCAAACAAAATCGTGCAAGTCAACTATCAATCCTAATTTTGTCTTCGAGCTAAATCATACTCCGTAATAGTTACCATATATATTCAACCACTAATATCCTTGATTATCAAAAAATAAGATTATGAACACTTGATATAGTATCAAATTATATTAAAAGTATTCTATGTCCATTGATTTGAGTAACATGATCACATACCATTTTATTTTTTTCCGCTAACTATAAATCATTGGAAGCAGTCATTATAAACTGTATGTGAATAGTGTAAAATTAAAATGTTGCAACCAAAAAAGAAACGGAAAAAATATCACAGAGGACATTGTTAAAATGTTAATCATCTTGTTTAATGTGATTTGCCCCATGCCCCCATTGCCTCTATCTTCATGTTAATACAAATCAAACTTCAAAGCCGAAAAAAGTGGATAATTTTAATGCAAGAAGCAGATTAAGGCCGGCAAAAAATACGGAAAACTAATTAATTAAAATTAATCAAACTTGTTGGACAGTCAACAGTGCTTTTTCCCAGATTATAAGGGGCTCTTCATATCAACTTACATTTATGCTTTTCATGAAAACCCTAATTATCCATGTTTAAATATTCATTCAAGCAAATTACTGGTCCATAAATAGACAGACAAAATTTATATGTATTTTTTTATAAGCAAGTTGTATTTCGCAGTACTCACAACAAAGGAATATTATTTGTGAGACATAGAATATTCCTTTGTTGCTATTAATGCGAAGCGGAGGTGGTATTATACTTTTTTTTTTTTTTTTTTTTTTTATATTGCAAACAAAAACCACACCAACATGATGATTATACTTTTTTTATTTTTATTTTGAGGAAGATGATGATTATACTTACATAAGCAAGATTAAATAATCAGAAAGAAACATATATATTAGCTAAAGAGGGTACCTTGATTCGGATTATTCGAGCATATTATGACCTGTGAACCGTTATTATTATTAGTCTTCAATCCGCACATTTGACCATTTAACTCGCATGGCCGGCACTCTGGCATGTACCAAGACAGCCGGAGGTCGTCATGGAGCTCCGATGATAAGGATGAATTCGTGTTATTGTTGTGCAACGAAGGCGGCCATTGGACAGGAACTTTAACCAAAGGTGCAATGAGTGAACAATTTGAAGGATGGTTGTTATTAGTCCCATTTGAAGGGATTGCATAAATAAAATGATGTGATCCACTAAGGCATTTGATTGGACCTATAAGACCTTTTAAATTATTTGTGGTGTTATTTTTGGTGGTATTTAGGGTTTTTGAGCAATTAAAGAAGGAAAAATATTGATGATAAATTCCAACAAAAGGAGAGTTTGAAAGATTAAAAGTTAAAAGTTTTTTGGGTAGGCAATTATTTGGATCATTTATCCACATTTCTTGTGCAACATAATCTATACTTTTTATACTAAAGTTTCCTGACCTTGGAAGCTCAATAAGGGAGCTTTTGGATCCTTCATCACACCACACGTCGAAACCCGGGTGCCCACAAGAGTCGGGTTCTTCTTTACCGGAACTCTTGATCCGGAAAGGGAATCGGATTGTCGGACTACCGGAAAAATCACCACACTTGGAGATGGAACAATTGTTGCTCATCACCTTGTAAGGGAAGTTGCTAATCAAGGTAAGAAGAAAGAATAAAAGGACAATTATCAGTGTGTTTAGATCCATGATTTTATTTTAGAAAGAAATGAACTAGTTGTTTTGGATACATATAAGACTTGTTGCTCAAATTATGAGGGGTTGATTGAAGAAGTAAACTGTGTTATTATAGGTTTGTTAATACTTATTTAATCTTAATTAGTCACTCTCAAATGGTATTTTTAAATTAATCAAGAAAAGGGATTGAGTAATGAGTAGATTAGTAGTGTGTTCACAAATAAACAAGCGGCCAAGTTGGCATAAATATGCACCAATAAACAATATGCATGACATTGCATGTATATTAGTTTCAGGAGATCCTATCTAAAATCCTTTTTATAAGGGTGTCTTTATCGTAAGTCTGAAGCGGAGTCTCAAAAAAAGTCTCATACAAGACTTTGACAATAATGTCATAAAAGACTATCATGAGTCTTGCATGCGGTTTGGCAGATGAAAACCCATCTTAAAACTATGTATGTGGGGGCAATAAGCTGACAAACTTTGCATGGCCAATAATATATTGCCAACTTAACACAAGTTGTTGAATAATTAATGTTATTATTTAGGAGGGTAAGTGAGTCTGGATTGAGTCTTGGGATAATGTGTGAAAATGGAAAGAGTCTTGTGTAAGTCTGAATAATAAAAAAGTAATTAAAATTTAATGAAAAGCTGATGTGGCAGAGTATGGAGTCCGAGTCTGGGACTGGGATAACTCACCCTAAATATGAGAAGTTGGTTACTGTAGCTTATGAACAGTAACTGAGCTACTGTTGAAAATGAATAGGGGATTTCCCTTTTTGGCCTCGCAATCAGGTTCTCTGATTTTGCCTGTTTTGCTTACTCATCCTCTTATTTTGCTTTTTCCTTTTTCCTTTTTCATTCATGTTGTTTGAGATCAGTTCTCTTTATTTCTCTCCTCCATTGAAGTGTAAGTTGAGCTTTCTCCTCCATTAAATCTTCTTGAGTTTGATTCAATCATCTAATATCTCCTCTCCTACTGATTCACTCTCTCTCCTCTGAAATTGAATTGTATCCAAAATTAAGCTTCACTTTGAACACTGCGTCTTCTTCAATTCAATGCTTACAGGTATTTTTGTCCAATTAATTTAGGAATTCCCAACTCTGTAAAAAAGTTATTTAACTACTTCATGTACCTCCATTCAAGTATACTCTCAATTCTTCATCAAAGCGTCTTAATCAATCAGACAGGTTTTTCAAATTCTGAGGTAATCTGTCTGTTTTAATCAATCATCAAATTTCAATTTCACAATCTAGGGTTTTTTACATCAATTTTTTTACCTCAACATGCTTTCTATTCGATTTCATTTTTCGTTATTCTGTTTTATTTAGGGTTTTAGTGAATTGGGGAATTATCATAAGAAAGAAAATAGGGTTTTAAATAGGATATAGATTTAACCACTTGACAAAATAAGATTTTAGAATTAAATTAATCATCTTATCTATAATTAGCATGAGATGGTATAGGTACCACTGTTGTCGGTTTTATTTACTAGGTTTAGTTTTTTCATCATTTATTTGATTTTGGCTTTAATTGATGAGCTGATTTGATGCTGATTTTTTTTTTTTAATAAATTTTTATATTTCCATTGATAAGATAGGTTAATATTCAGATTAATTTTGTATCTGAATTGAAGTTTGAGTAGAATTGAATTTTGGCATTGAAAGGTTGTGTTGTATGTCCTAGAATAGGGTGTTTTTTTTTTAACAAAAAAAATTAAAAAAATTTTAAGGTTCTGGTGGAATTCGCTTTAATGGAAGGCTGTTATTTGGGAATTGAGCTATGTGAATCAAGCTAATGGGATTATGTGGAAATTTATGCATGACAAGCTGATCTTGGTTCTTTTAGTTTTAATTTGATTGCTTGATTTATCAGGAAGTTGAGGAGAACTAAAATCCAGTGTAATTAGAAAATTGACGTGGGTGAAATTAGAGCTTGGGTTTCTATGAATTAGGGGTAAGATTATAATATTTGGGCCTCAAGTTTTTAAAAAAAAAAATCATGAAAATCTGGAGTTTTGGATGGAAATTGCAACAGGATTCCAGAAAATAAATAGGAAGGTAGGAGGGAGAAAGACCAGGGACAACGAAAAACATCAAAAGCTTAATTGAAACCGAAATTTCAGCTCATTAGTATTTTTTTTTTTTGGTGGCTTTAAAGTTCAAAATTTAAGCTTAATTGTTGTTTTGCAGGATCTTGAATTCTTGCAATTGCACCCAACTGGTATCTACGGTCCTGGATGCCTAATCCCTGAAGGTTGATTTTACTCGTACAATATATTTGTTCTTTTCGTTCTTTTGTCTAATGATTCTAAATGAACTTTGATTAATCGTAACTAATCTGTAGAAGAAGTTTTGTAGTTTATTCCAGAGTATATTCTTTTTTCTTTGATGATACCTTTTGCAGCTGCCTATTTCTGGAATTTTTTCTTTAGAAGTGATCTTTAATTTCCTTCTCAACTAGAATTTGGATAAAATTTAAAAAGAGATTGGTTATGAGTAGTTGATTTCAATTGTTGTCATCCTTTGCTTTGAGGTAGTTGATTCGTATATATGTAGTAATAAACTGTACATTTTATTTCCTGAATCAGAGATTGATAGAGGACGAGACTGAGAAAGTCAAGGACTTTTCAGCAGAGACAACAACACCCTTTAGAGAAAGACTTATGATCTTAGGACGTCTAGCGAATGAAGAAGATATCAGTCTGAGACTCTGAATGTAGTAGAGTCGTAGAGAAGTGCTACAATGCATACAATGAGAAATCTGTCCTGTCAAGCCCTAAGCATGAGTTTTACTCGGTAAGAAAATTTCGTGTTTTCATAACTATAATCTGAGCATTTATATCATATGCTATGAAAATTATGGTTTTTTAATCTCTACAAGTCGTTGGTGGTAGAAGCAAAGTTTAGAAAAGGGCGTATGCTGTAATCTTCCTTCAATTTCAGTTAATTATTCTGGTTCATACTTTACCATCTAAGTTACTCCTGAATTTATAAAATTATTTGTTAAAGTATTTGTGAATTCAGTCTTTTAGTTGTATGCTGAGCTACTACTTTTGTGGCATCTTTTCCGTTATCATAATGAGATGTTAGTCCATAAAGACAAGGATTGATAGATGTTTGCATTTCCTTCACTGAATTCTACTGAATAAGGATTTGTCACCATAAAAATTGAAAAAAAATTCCCTCCTTTTTTGATGGCTTGACGCTTCTTTTGTTTTCTTAAACTTATTGGTTATAACTATTCTATCTTTGTCTGTAATATGCAGGAAAGACAGGAGCTCATAATATCTGAGCTTGTCTTGCAACGTCTTTATATATTGAATGAGGAAAAGTGGCTGCTTAAAATAGATTAAAGCTCCCAAAAACATTATATCAGGTAGCTTTTCTCACATTTGTTCAATAAAAAAAAAGGGTAGCTTTTCTCACAAACCTTGAAATAATTGTAGTTTTACATTACACTGTGATATTAGAGGGATATGGTGATTATCAGTGACTACTTGCAAAAAAATTTAAATTTATGTTTTTCCTATGTTCTTTTTACTGTAGTATTACGTTGGACTATGAAAGATAGTGATTACCGGAGACTATCAATCACTAAGCTCTTTGTTCTTTCATTCTTGTCTCAATTCAAAGGTTCTCAAGATATCAGGCATTACCATTGCAAATCTGTAATGAAGATTAGAAGAGTGCTCATTTTTTTTAAAAGATTTTACCGAACAAATTAGTGACTGAATCTCTAATTACTCGACAAAATCTTAATTTATCAAGCCTAGGAATCATCTCAGATAGTAATTTATTTGTCATTGTAATTGTGTTTCTAATTTTTATATATAATTGGTTATCTGTTGATGATAACGTTCACATATTGCCTATGTTACTCGGACTAGGGTACCCATGGCCGACACGGGTACGTGTCCAACTGTCCGACTCAACTATTTTGTGAAAAATTTCTATGATTTCTTGTATAACTGAAACTAACACATTTGAAAATGATCTTAGGATTAATTATGACTCATTTGAGGCTCAGTTCTTAGTGTCCATTGGAGCTCATCGATTTAGTGGTTTTAGATAGGTATTTATATGGACATAAAATCACTGTTTAATAGCTTTTTGTGAAATTTGATGAATATATCTATTTTACCTGACTTGAATATTTGGTTTTTGAAATTGGGTCGTCTCTCTCTTCTTCCCAAATGTTTCATATTAAGCTATATGATGATGCACCTGATTGATTGTATAAGCTTATGAGTTACAAAGATGAGTAGATAGAAACTCGCATACACTTCTAGCTAATTCTTCCATGCATTGGCTACCTTAGCTTTTTCTTTGGGCCTTACTACTTTATTTTATCTTCTTTTCTATTTGCAGGCTTACCTCTACATATGTCAAGCCACAATTCACTTTAGATTCTGGTGCTTGTCGTGTCAGTGTTTATGGTTGGAGTGCAGCATGATCCTAGAAAGAGAATTGATTCTATAACAATGTAGTTTCAATTGCATTCTTGTGTTGTATCTTCAAATCTGACAACAAATCATGGAACACTGGACATCCTTGCTAACAAGGTAACACTTTTATATTATTTCAGCAATCAATGTAAAGTATATCTATACTATTTAGCTTCATATTAGTGCATAGAGGGTTACTAACACTACTAGGGTGAATGTGGTAAGATAGTCTTTACAGTCAATCTTGAATATTATCTGCAGTAAGCCAGTACCACAAAAATTCAGTACAAAAGTCAGCATCCAAACCACTAAAGGCTTGAAGATTATCTGCAGTAAGCCAGTGCCACATGAATTTGAAAAAATTGTACATAAAGGAATGACAGCAAACTAGGAGTGTATAATCTTTGTCAATATCCTTGTTGGAAACTAGAAAGTGAATTAGTAATCTGGCAGCCAGAAACTTACTGAACTGAATGTAGGGGAGGAAATTCATACATCAAATCTTTGTTATGCTTCCTTTACTTTTTGTAGTTTAAAAATATTTAGCTTATTTTGTGCTATTTTCTCAGTTCACAATACACTGCTTTAGGTCTTGTGATACCGAATACTTACTGATTGATTTGGTGTTAGGTTCTAGCCAAGGACGATGAAAATAACGTCACAGCATTGTACATATGGGGAAAAACAAGAATAGAACTAGGGGCAAATAAATTAATGCAGCTAGAGAAGACTTGGTCAAATCTCGTAAATATGCTCTTGATGACAGGGTTCTTGCTTAGCATGAAAAATCTGTAGCTAGAACCAGAAGGGGCGTGACAAAGCAATGCTAGGACAAAGAACTGAACCCAAGAGATCTATTGTAAAATCTTCGAGGCTGCTTGATGTGTTTAGTTTATTGCAAGCTTACTCGTACCTTTTTTTTTCTCTGTGAACTAGCAATATGCTTTTTAAAGACTACATACGTACTGTGGTGTTCATTAAACTTACATGTAACGTGTTCTTTACCTTTTGTTTCATTTTTCTTCACATTCTCTAAAATTTATTCTCAGAGTGTCTTCGCTAAATTTTCTTAGTATTATATCCGAAAGTTATGACTTGCTATGGGTTCAGGTACTCTACAATGCATTGTTATAGTTACAAACTTATATTTTTGCTAAGTCAAATTGTTTGAAAATCTCAAGTAATGTCTTACAAAGGTTATGTAAGCACTGATCTCTAACATGGTAATTTCTATTTTCAAATGGTTTTGCATGGTTTCAAGCCGTAACCATAAACAAGATGGACCTGAAACTATGCGAAACCATTTACATTTGTAGTTCTAAGAGTTTATTGTGCTTATAACCGTGTATCACATACATATGTTGTTAATACAAATTAGTCTAAACTTATCTAACTGTAATCAAGATACTTAAATTAAATCAACTTTATCATTTTTATTTTTACAAAACTTTACCATTAATTGAAATACAGAAATTACAATAACTTGGGGTAGCGCACAATGCGTGCGATACCACAACTAATTAGCATAAAAGTATCATATATAATTAAATATACTATACAGTTGGTCTCTATTATTCTCTAACAAGTAGAACAAATTGGGTTGATAATTGTATTAGTTATGGAAGTTTGCACAGAGATTTGGCAATTATTATGATTATTGGTTGTTTTAGCTTTTGATTAGGTGGATAAGGTTGAAAGGATTGGATTAAGAGCCTTTAGAGGTATCCCTTAATATTAATTAGGGGGTACAATGGACATTCCACGGCCAAACATAATCTCCCTTTTTTGTTATTTTTTTTCAATTTTTATAAGGGGCTTGTTTGTTTGACATAAAAAATATGGGAAGTGAGACTTCCTAGGAATTGCAAGTTCTGTGTGTTGTTTGGTTGACAAAAATTTGTTGAAACGGGGGAAGTGGAACTTCCTAGAAATTTTGAGTTCCTACAAAATGTAGGAACTTACTTACCTAACCCCCCCCTAGGTAAGTAGAAATTCCCATGGTAAGTTACTTTCTTCATTGTCAGCCAAACAATTTTATGAAATTCCCATAAATTTGATTATAGAAATTTAATTCCCATAAATTTGCAATTCATGGGATGTTTTAATTCCCAAGTGAACCAAACAACACCCTAGTCTCCAGCAGAAATTATTCCAATTTGACTATATACAAAGTACAATTTAATTCTTTCAAAAAAGTACAATTTAATTTACAAAGTTTAGTGGACCAAAAATTTACTCCCTCTATATTTTTTTTGGTGTCCAATTTGAAATCATTAGAGATCTTATTGCAAATGGAATCTAAAAATTTATCCTTTTATCGATAAATATAACTGGTCATCGATTACTAAACAAAACAACTCATATTCATGCAGAATCCCCTTTTTTTTTTTCTTTTTTTTTTTTTTTTTTTGCTGTTTCAGCTTTTAAATATGTAATTTTTCATAATACTTATTATAGATATTGTTATTGTTTGTATTGGGAACTATGTAAAAAAAATCTATCTATCTATAACATATTACTAAAAGCGAAACCAAAACTAACACTTGGCATCGTTATATTAAAATATTTCCCTCCAAAAATATTACCAAAAAAAAATGTAAAAAATTGTATCTAAATTATGATATTCGCTTTACATAAAATTTAAATTTATAAACTTTATAAAATATTAAATGGTTCATCGTAACAAATTATATATGGATATTTTTTAACTATATTTTATATTCTCTATTAATTGGTGTATCGAGTCTTTTTTTATTTATATTGTTTCTATAATTTTGTTATTAAAATTATTTAACAATCGTGCATCTATTGCACGGGGTATAACCTAGTGTAACAGATAAAATTATTTAATGGAATACAAGTTGTATAAGTATATAACTCTCTCAAATATTCTGTATAAAGTAAATTATAAAATAACTAAAAGAATCGGTGTAACGGTCTAAAAGGACTATGATATAGCTCATTTTTTGGGTCGCAAATAAATAATACATTCATTCTTAATCACTTTCAAGTTTTTAACTTTTCAAGACTATTAGAGAAGTCTTAAAATTAGTAAAATGTAGCTTAACTTATCACTATAGGAAAAATAAATTACAAATATGAAGTCCGTTAAGTTTAGACAAGTAAATAAATAGCTTCCTCGGTAAAAAAATTGAGAAATGCAATCTTGCTCATTTATCAGGATAAACTTATCAAAATCACTTTATACTTTGATTTTACTTGGATCAAGTTCAAAATTAAACAATCTACTCGTGAGCCAAGCGAACAAGCTTGTAAAAAGTTCAGTTAAGCTCAGCTTGACTCGAGATCCCATTATATTTTTGGGTGTAGGGAGTGATTTTTCTAAGTAAATTCTAAATCATAACAACCCACTCTATTGCACAAAACAAGTAAACTAACCGTTGCTCTCTATGTTGGTTGTATTACTGGACTGGGCTTTGTTATTTGTTAGATTCCTTCTCTACTATGTCCTTATCCAAAAACAGGATTGAAATGAAAATGAAGACCAAAAAATTACCCTTTTTTTTTTTTGTGTGTGTTCATAAAGCCACAAAGGCGGGGCTGAGAATCGATTTCAAAATCTCCTTAAATCGGGAAGAAAGCTCTAATCACTTGAGCTATTCCTCACTCTTTCAAGAACAATAAATTACTCAAAGAGCATCAACCACAAATGGTTCACAAACAACAAAACAGGAGTAAAGCTAAGAAAGATAAATTATGTAGGTTAATAGATATATTTTCATTAAAAATTATAGTGGCTTCTCCTATTTATTCTATAGTTGTTTCATTTCTTATTCTTCACTATTGAAATTGAAATTCCCCATTTAACTATCTTTTGTGATTTATGCTACTTTTAATTTTCAAGATACGTATAACCTTTTAACCGTTATTAAAACGGAGTAAACAATGCTGATTTTTTATTGAATAACATCTATAAAGATATAAAGATATGAAATAATATAAAAAAAAATATATATATATATATATATATAACATAAATAAATAAATAAAAAGGGAAAGCTTAGATTATTCTTTGTCATCAAAGCCTCCCAATTATTATCACCCACTTCATCCATTTCACAATCAAACATCTCAGAAAGAGAGAGAGAGAGAGAGAGAAAGTGAGAGAAGAAAAGCAGGAAGAATGAAGAGGATACCTCGCATCAAATTTCCTGATAGACACCCTAAACCTTCTTCAACTTCTGGTATTAACTTTTTTCCCCTGTTTTTCCTTCTGAATATCTCTGTTTTTTGCAATATTTTTTTGATTTTTTTTACTTTTCATTTTAGTTAAAGTTGTAATCTTTAATCTTCTACTGCTAAATTTATTAATTTTTGTTGTGTTTAATCTTTATTATTGGGTGATTTTTTTTTTTTCTGGGTATGTTGTTCTTAACAGTTTGTAATAATTATAAGAAATTCCATAGCTTTAATCATCAGTCATAATCTAGCTTTAAAAAAAAGTTAAATTTTTTTTTAAAAATAAAAAAAGAAACCTATATTTTTTTTCTCTGCTTTTTCATTAGTGTGTTTGTTCTTCAATGGCGGCTTGAAAATTCTTGATTTCACTATGGTGCACTTTATTGCCATAATTGGCCAATTTGGGATTGCTTTATTAGTGTGGGTAGTTAAAGATTCCTTCTTCTATTGTCCACACTTTTTCATTTTTGCCTTTTGCCTTTGTCACAAATCAAATTTGGGCTTGCCAAAAAGCAAGTGATCAAGTTTTTGTACATCTAGACCTTCCGAAATACGGAGTAAGATTAGTATTTATTATTGTTGTGGTCTATCTAGACATGACTTTTTTAGGGGTTGCAAGTGGGATTAGAATTATGCTATTATTACAATAAGTTTGGGTTTGGATTTTATTTAATTTCAATCTGAACAGTTGATCATTAGCATATATATGCTGGTGTTAGAAACAAAGCAGATGTTCTAGCTTGGTTTAGAATTATGCTTAGTTGCAGTATGCATGTTACATAATACTTGTAGTGTGTAATGTTCATGCCTGATTCATGTAAGTGGGACTTTGACTGCTTCGGTCTTTCGGATTCCTTACCAGTAGAGTTCACTCGCATACTACAACTGACCTTACAGTTGCATTTTCTATTGTCACATTCTAGGGACAGATTACATGCTAATCAATGACTGAGTAGGGATGTTTCGAGCCTTGATGCTTCGAGCCTTTGATTTTGTTAAGATTGATGTTTAGAGACGCCTTCAATGTCATATGTGCATGGTGTGAGGAGTTCCACTTTTTTGAGTACTTTACTGCATTCCATGTTTTCAGATAGAGAATGTTGTTGTAGTATTAATGTACCATTGATATCAATATTTTCCTGCTATCTGAATTCGTTTTTTTTTATTTTTCTTGAGATGAAGCTGAATTCAACATGAACCTTAAGAACAATCCCCCTATTTTTACTGCTCTTCAATGTATGCTTTCAGCAATATTACATTATCTGCTTTGCTGAATAGGTGTTGAGTCCCAACCAAAGCCACCTTCAGGAAACACGAACACTCGCAAGCTTTCAACATCAAAGTCTGACGTTCCTGCACCACCTAACTCCACGGGAGGGGGTGGTAAAGCTTCACTTCAGCCTAAACGCACACCAGTCTCAGACAAAGAGATGGAAGCTATCTTGGTAAGAATTACTTACTCCCACTACAGTTCCTCCATTTCAGATCCTTTATTCAATCAATTCCAATAATGACACAGAAGAAACAAGTGCGGAATAATTAAGCTTTCCCCATTTATGTCCTTGCAGTTGGGTGGCTGCGTTTAGTTTCATTTCAGAAAGTTGTCAAAACAAAGACCCTTCTGCATTTTCAATTTTTTTGTTGCTTATCCTTCCAATGAAAATGTGACCATGAGCTGAAGACTGCATTTCCAACCTCATTGGTGTGAGACACATTTGGACTTGGCAAATTGGGAATGTTGTTTTCGCAACTCTGTATAACCATCAGATGTACTGCAATATGTTTTCTGTCTATATAATAAGTTTTATCTTATGGAGTTAACAGACTCACAGTGATCTTTGCAGAATGGCTAATATAGTGAAAATCATTTCGGAGAATCATCTCCCCTGAGGATAAACCGCCCTATAAACAGAACCGATGAAAATCTACACATCACATAATGAATTAATGGCGACTGATTTGATCTCGTTTATTATTGAGATTTGACCTAACAAATTATATCTGGCTCAGATAACTCATCCTATAAACACATATAATCGGGTCAGATCAATATTGTTTGTTACAAATCTACAGCCAATATTGACCTAACCCAATTGATTTTGCACTGGCAAATGAAATTAGTCACAGATATGATCCAACCCGAATATGACAGAGATTGAATTGAATATCTCATCACTTGAATGTGGCTTGTGCAATTGCAATTTCTAAAATTTACAATGGGAACCCAGGAATGTAGAGAACATGATGCGTAATTCACCAATGCACATAGCTCAAGCACCGGTTTGCAACAGGGATGTGTCACAGACAGTAAAATTTGCAAGAGAAAAACATGAAAGGCTAGAAACACTCGAACAAGAAAAATAAAGAGCAACATTTATAAAAAAGCTGAAAAATTACAGCCTCAAATTTTAATAATTATAGGTGGACGAGGCTTCTCATATTGTTTGTTCACAAAGAAAAAATCTCACATTGGTGCTTCAGATTCAACTACAACCTGGCATCATACGCAATCTTAAGTTTCCAGCTCTAACTTTCACATATATAGCTTTCAAACAAAACTGTACATTGCTCTATCTAGCTTCGCTACTACCCGATAACGCCTTTTAGGTAATGGGCAGTCCATATAAACAAAATGTGGCAAAGAAACAAATACGACCACTTTCTTTTACTTATACTAGCCACAAGAAGCTTGGTGGTCATCAATCAAACACCTCTAAATTCTCACATTTACGAAGCAGCAGTTCCTCATCGCTGGTTCTTTTGGGCATAAAGAAAAGAATTGATCAAGACAAGCAACCTATGTCATCACAGTTCGTTTGTCACTCTCCAGCTGCCTCTTACCGGCAACTTCTTCTACTGGAGAGCTGACATCAACGACCTCCTTTTCTTCACCCATGAGATACCTGTCAACCTGAGAAGCAGCTTGCCTGCCCTCTGAGATGGCCCACACCACCAAGGACTGCCCTCGTCTACAGTCCCCAGCAGCAAATACACCCTCCACGTTGGTTGAAAACCTGCCATAGTCAGCCTTGAAGTTCGACCGGTTGTCTTTCTCCACGCCCAGCTTGTCTGCCACGTTCTGCAGGAGCACAGCAACAAAAATGGTAAGCAACCATCCCCCAGTTAAATTTCAAAAAATGAGGCATTAGATGTATTGAACATCTAAAATTCAATTCTAGTCCCCCTCTCCCATTTAAACAGAAGTGATACTCACAAAATTTACTATTTATCATTCTCTTTTTGAGATGAGAAATAAAGAATACTAACCGCTTCAGGGCCTAGGAATCCCATAGCGAGAAGTACTAAATCTGCCTCAATGAACTCTTGCGAACCTTCAACTTCCTTGAATTGGAACTTTCCACTGGCATCCTTTTCCCACATGACATGTACCAACTCAAGACCTTTTAACTTACCATTCTCGTCACCAACAAAACGCTTTGTGAGAACCTCGTAAGACCTTGGGTCTTTACCGAACTTGGCAGCAGCTTCCTGGTGACCATAGTCAACTCGGAAAATACGTGGCCACTGCAAGACCAAGAATAAATAGATAAGATAATTATCCAATTAGAACACTTATATTAATTAGAGAAAGATGGGGAATAAGACATGAATTTCGGCAAAGTTTTTAAGATTTAGAGAGATTGAAGGGAATGCTAAACCTGTGGCCAAGGGTTGCCAGGAGCTCTCGAATTTGGTGGTTGGGGAAGAAGTTCCAAGTTGACGACATTAGTACAGCCATGTCGAATAGATGTACCAATGCAATCAGTGCCTGTGTCACCTCCACCAATGACCACAACCTTCTTCCCTTCAGCAGAGATGTAATTACCATCTTGTAGATTACTGTCAAGCAAGCTCTTAGTATTTGCATGTAGGAATTCCATGGCAAAATGGATTCCTGACAAGTCCCGTCCTTCGATAGGAAGGTCCCTAAAGGGGAAAAAAAAAGGTATAGTTAAGTCTTATTCTGAGCCATAGAAGGGAAGAATAGAAAAGTTGCAATACAACTTTTCCCACAGTTTTACCTGGGTTTTGTAGCCCCAACAGCCAACACAATGGCATCATTCTCATCCTTAAGCCGGTCAATGGAATATTGTGGATCTTTGCCAACATTTGCATTCACTACGAATTGAACACCTTCCTCAGCCATGAGATTCACACGCCGTTGAACAACATTCACTTTGTCAGTCTTCATGTTGGGCACTCCATACATCATTAGCCCTCCAATTCTATCAGCACGCTCATAAACAGTCACAAAATGACCCATTTTGTTCAGTTGATCCGCAGCTGCCATGCCAGAAGGTCCACTACCAACTACAGCAACTTTTTTCCTGATATCACATTATATGGAAGCCATCAGATCACAAATCTAGGAAGTAGAATTTATTAACCCAAAAAATAGACAATTTCTGAATAATAGTATGTACCCAGTTCTTTTCTGTGGAGGCCTTGGAACCATCCATCCTTCCTCAAAGGCTTTGTCTATGATAGAACATTCAATAGTTTTGATTGACACAGGATTTTCAATGATGCCAAGAACACAGGAACCCTCACACGGTGCTGGACAAACTCTACCAGTAAACTCTGGGAAGTTATTCGTTTCCAAGAGTCGGTCAAGAGCTTCACGCCACCTATTCTGGTAAACTAATTCATTAAACTCTGGAATTTTATTTCCTAGCGGGCACCCTGAATTATCCTGCAAATTAAGCAAAATAGAACAAGTCTCACAATAAGACTACTAAGCCTCTGGAAAGAACGTGTTAATATGAATATTTGCACATTTAACAATTACACTTACCTGATGGCAAAATGGAGTACCACAATCCATGCACCGTGCAGCTTGTGTCTTCAATAAGGGGGCAGGTCTTTTTTCATCCATGACCTCATTATAGTCCTTCATCCTTTCATTTGGATCACGATACTGAATCCCCTCACGCTCATATGCAACAAAACCACGATGTTTTTGAGCATCAGGAACCCGAGAAGGACGCTTGAACTCTTCTACTTCGTCCTCTTCCTGCATGATCACGAAAACATAAGCCCCACATGATCCATGTCAAGCCATCAAGATAAGTTAGATCAAAAACACAACATAATGTACCTGACTGTCTTGCTCTTGCAAAGCAGAAGTTGCCATCTTTTTTAATTCTTCAAATGCATCTTTTTCAGTCACTTCAATTTCATCTTTTTCCTCCTCAGCCACCTTACCGCCAGTCTCCTGGGATGCTCCATCAGTTTTCATGCTTGCAAGCACCCGCTTGTAGTCTCTAGGGAAGACCTTGATAAACTTGGGCAAGAGGGTGTCAAAACTCGCCAGCACTTCCTGAGCAAGCTTGCTATTTGTATGGCGTTGATGCTGCTGAATCATTATTCTTAGAGTCGTTATATCCTCTTCTTCCTCAACTTTATCAAGATCCACTAGCTCAGAATTGCATCGGGAATGGAATTTTCCATCCAAATCAAGAACATATGCTATACCACCGCTCATACCTGCAGCAAAGTTTCGGCCAGTTTTTCCTAATACTACCACAGTTCCACCAGTCATGTACTCGCAACCATGATCACCAACGCCTTCCACAACAGCCTTAGCCCCTGAATTACGCACACAAAATCTTTCTGCAGCCATGCCATTAAAGTATGCTTCTCCACAGGTTGCTCCATAAAGAGCTACATTGCCAATTACAATGTTCTCTTTGGGATCAAAACCACTACTCCTTGGAGGATATACAACAATCTTACCACCTGATAATCCTTTCCCAACATAGTCATTACTGTCACCTTCAAGCTCTAATGTTATACCAGGGCAAAGGAAAGCTCCAAGACTTTGCCCTGCACTTCCATTGAATTTAATGTGGATAGTATCTGTAGGTAGTCCTTCCAAGTGGTAACGTTTTGTCACTTCGTGGCTAAGCATAGTTCCCACAGCACGGTTTACATTCCGGATTGGGGTTTCAATATATACAGGAAGGGCCTTTTCGAGGGCAGCTTTAGAGCTCACAATCAATTCTTGATCCAAAGCCATGTCCAAGCCATGATCCTGTTTTTGGACACAGCGCTGAGCAGCGCCTGGACGGATGGTAGCAGCTGGTCTAAGCAAGAGAGAGAGATCAATGTTCTTCAGCTTCTCGTTGCTTTTCGTCACTTCTTCATCAACTTCAAGCATATCTGAGCGCCCAACCATCTCATCAAGCTTCCTGAACCCAAGCTGAGACATGATCTCCCTGACCTCCTCTGCTAGCATGAAGAAGAAGTTGATAACATGCTCAGGCTCACCAGCAAACTTTGCACGAAGAACAGGATCCTGTGTAGCAATGCCCACTGGACAAGTGTTCTTGTGGCACTTCCTCATCATTATGCACCCAAGTGTGATGAGGGGAGCAGTGCTGAAACCAAACTCTTCAGCTCCAAGAAGAGCTGCAATTGCCACATCTCTTCCTGTTTTCAATTGACCATCTGTTTGAAGAACTGTACGGCCTCTAAGGTCATTAGCAACCAGAGTTTGATGGGTCTCAGCCAGGCCAAGCTCCCAAGGAAGCCCAGCATTTTTTATGCCCGTCCATCGAGAAGCTCCAGTACCTCCGTCATGTCCAGAGATCAAAACATGGTCAGCGTGCCCCTTGACAACCCCAGCAGCAATCACTCCAACACCAGCTTCAGACACAAGTTTAACACTTACTCGGGCTGATGGATTGGCATTCTGAATTCCAAAATGACACATCAGAACATCTATATATAATTCTTACACAGGTAAACATGTTAAATTGGTCATACATAACCACATATGTACCTTCAAGTCATGAATAAGTTGAGCAAGGTCCTCAATTGAATAAATGTCATGATGAGGAG